AGACATGGTAGAGAGGGAGGATACAGGTGAGGAGCTCGAGACAGGAACTGAAGACAACAGTAAAGAGAAAGAGACAACACAGCATTACAAAGAAAAGTAAATTAAAGCAGACTTGAGCCTACGAATGAAGGCAAAAAGCAAGAACAAAAAAAGTGGGGTGGACTGGCCGCGTGGAGATGGAGTCAGCCTTTGTTTCTGTGAAATTTAGAGGCAGAAAGCGGCGATGTGATTGTTGCCGAAGATAATACATTGGAATTGTTTTGTGGAATTTTTTGTAAATCCAATCGAATTTTTTCGCTCTGAGCTTTACCTAAACAGCTGTAAATAAGGGAACCCCTTACTGACGATGGGTTATTATAGTGCAGTTTCCATCCGCGTAAGCTAAGTTTTTTTTTCTTTACTTTTGTTTTTTTTGTTTTCATTCATAGGTTCAGGCTTTTTTTGCTTTTACTTTTTGCTTTCTTTCGTAGACACAGGTTTGCTTTAATTTACTTTTCTTTGTAGTGCTGTGTTGTCTCTTTCTCTTTACTGTTGTCTCCAACTCTTGCCTCGAACTGACTGGTACCCTTGTTCTCTTTCCCTGCCCTTTCCCCATTTCTTGCCTCCAGAGCATCATCTTGGCACCCACTCCTAGCCAACGTCATTTTCACGCCGACTGTTGGAAAAGACCAAAGCACCACTAGCATGAATGCACATGCTGTTAACGATCGAACTGCTTCAAGTTAGTACGAAAACATATGATCGCACTGAAAACCTTGATGCGCGTGAACGCCTGGGTTGATATTCAGCTAAACTGCTTTTGCTAGTTATAGTGCAGGTTATATGCAAATTTTTTTTGCAAACGTTCTCATTTCACCGAAATAAAAATTATGGATTGGACTTGACAATATTATTGACTTTTTATAGTTCATTGATGAGCGGTACTCCGCACTTTGTTACATACTAGTCAACCAGAGGCGGTATGGCTGCGCAGGTTACACTTTAACAGTTCAAATTTATTTGCTGAAGTTCATTCTCATTAATATAATGTGAACGCTTGATTTTGCACCTTTTTATGCACTTTGTGTCGGAACAGTTACACAAAATGCATACTATCATGTCTGTGTGTGTGTATTCGCGTATTTGTGTGTCTACGTATGCTTTTTGTCCGAGTGGGTTTTGTCTCGCGTTTTCGACAGCTACTAAAATACGGCTGAACTCGGCCGGATCCATACGTGATTTGCGACCGATTTTATGGGGTGTCCTTTTCTCACTGTGACATAGAAAGCTAGATATCGCAGATGGAGTGGTGGTGATGGGGAGCTTTGTGTGCGGGTCCCGAGCGTAGAGATTGGAGATAGACGGAGGGGATTAGTAGGTTGGATTGAGTAGTAACGTGATGTGGCCACCCAGGGAGAAGGGAGAGGGTGCAAAAACTAGGAACAGAGTTGTAACACTGCTATTTTTCTGGACACTTGTCACCCCTTCCCCACCACTATCACCACTAATCGTTCCCAACCCCTCACTAGCCTCCTTGTTCCTCGGATCTGTCCTGCCTCATCCGTGTCCCCTGAGCTATATCCAGGCAGCTAGCAGTTAACACCCTTCTCCCATCCACGTGCAATCCCCCCACACCCCTCTTCCAAGCACGCGATCTAATAGCCGAACGCGGGGCATTGCTACCCTGCACTCCTGACAAATTGCCAAGCGGTGTTGACGAGACGCGCCGCGAAATAGTGCTAGCAGTGATAGAGAGCAACCGAGTTTTAACAGTTGCCCGCATTTTCAGCTCAAAAACCGGTAAAGCTTGGGTGATGAAATTTCAAGGCGACGGAAATTCAAATTCCATGTGTGACGCAAATTCAAATTTAGTGTTCACCTACGCCTGGGTCTCACGTACGACCTTTCCTCGAAAACTGCAAGAGCTAGGGAGCCGAAATTTTGGAGAAATGATCCTTGCTTTCTGTCACACAGCAAAACAAATTCATTTTCCACGTTGCATAGGTGTCACGTACGGCCCTGTGAAAGTTTTGGCGGGAAAATTTGCTGACAATGTAGCCAGAAAAGCTGGGGGGCTAAAATTTCAGGAAAAGCTGGGAGATTTCAGGAGAACTGGGAGGCTGAGATTTCGGGGTGTTTTCTGTTTATGCAGGAACCTCGCAAATTTGAATTT